TGGCATCAGGGAGAAAAATCACCGAGACCCACAAAGAGTATCATGACGGTTAACCTGTCAACAGTGTCAATAGTCTCAACACTCATATAAACAATCATAATTCATATGATTATTATAAACCGTGCAAAATACAATTTTTAGCCATTTTCCATAATATTCTCTTAAATGACAATCGTTTTGATCCGGACGYAAAATATCGTCCTTGTGACGTTTTAGAGGAGGTTGCCATACACAGCTGCAGACAGTAGATATTTTCTACGTAAATACATTAAATATTATGCAACACTCACATAACATTATACTGTTATTCCATACGTGTATTTTACCTGTACAGCGGGGTACCATGATCCAATGGCGTACGCACTTTGCCGACGACAATATAAACATATAATATAGGTAATATTAACGTGTAGGTACCTAAGTAAACACATAATAATAAATTATTTCCATAAAACGCCGCGATATTATATTATGCACATATCATTATTGATGTGCATTTAATGTAATATATACCTACACAACGCGCATATAATAAAATGTGATCCGCAGATAATTTCAAGTTTGATTGAAATAAAAAATAAAAAGCTGCATCAGAAAGCTTGGGTACCTCAACAGCAACTTCGCCGCATATACATATAGGTATATATGCATCGCAGTACGAGACTGGTCCATAAACATCAACGATTACGATAATAWACGTTCGCATGGGCTCTCCTCTCGGTCGTTTCCCGAGACCGGATGAYGATGTTTTTCTTCTCCATATTTTAATTTTTTTTATTATTGTTATTAAATCCATCTTAAGCCTCGCGTATTCAATTCCCACGGCACGGATAAAAATCGACGGCCGCGCGGRTCCTGTTGACCGACATCCATGTGCCGATATAACACCCCGCATATTGTTATTATTATATTATATTATATTATAAGCTAACTCATGTATATGGTGTGAAAAATTGTTTCCTRTAACTATATTATAATACCGTCGCATACGTTTTCTCATGCAGGTGAAAAGCCACACGTGTGTGCAGTGTGCAACAAGGGTTTCTCTACGTCGAGCTCGTTGAATACTCACCGGCGAATCCACAGCGGCGAAAAACCACACCAGTGTGGCGTCTGCGGAAAACGGTTCACGGCCAGTTCTAATCTCTACTACCACCGAATGACTCACATCAAGGTAAGCCTAGTTATAGAGCTTTTAAGACTTTTGAATTTGAAAAAAATATATATWTTTTTATATTCCATCTACATAATATAATATATTAGGTGGAATCAGCGGGAAATAGTAGTAAAACAAATTGTCTGTCGAAATACGTTTGCTTAACGATCTATAGGTACGTGTGTTATTCAATGGTATATATAGGTAACYAATATTATATGCATATTATAAGTATATATAGTCTGCAGTARAGCATAAATTACCCAGTTCGGCCACTATAGAAGGCCAATAAAACCAGACCGTTGACCTCTTATTATAACGACGTCTTATATACTATCCAACACATGAAATTGTTCACGACAGATTTTTCTCCAAATATTGCACAACTATTAAAATCGATTATTAGTATAGGTATAGTTTATTTTAGTTATTATATTTCCGATAAATGTTTTATTTAAATTTGGTTTTTAACTGTGATCGACAACATCTCCATCCCAAATATGAATTTTTCATTAACAAATTGAACATTCTACATTTAATTTCTGTATAGGTAATATATTATAAAATTAAAAAAAATTTATTTTTATACAATCGATTTCGATATCTTATTTTTAATCAAAATATATAATATAGGTAGTCTTCATTACACATTCTTTATACTACTTATTTTGTAAAATATGCTTCCGAATAAATAAATATAGATATATAGGTATATGAAACGCGACGTGTATCTTATATGATTATATAATATATAATATATAATATATAGTATATACAATATAATATATTGTTGTATAATACATGTACATATTTTAAGCGCGTATATTGCAGTATAATTATTGCATTATAATCAATTTTTTTTACATATTTAATATTTTAATATATACATATGCTACTATAACGCGTATAAAAATATTGATAAAAATTCGATAATCAATCATTATATTCGAACGGTGGCTCATGGTATAGAATCGAGTTACACTGTTATACGTTTTAAGTCTCGTCGTGTTCATGTATATAATAATAATCGTATTATTAATATTATTAACATATACCCATAAACCGTCGGCCGGTTAACAACTAAACCGTCGTGACTTTAATACAAGAGAGGGCTAAAGACAGGATCCACACCGCTTCGGTCGGCCGCGYGCGCGTGTGTGTGTACTGTATATCATAAACATATACGAYGATTTTAATGTTCTAAGACTCACGCAAGATTATGGGTCTTTAATAATACGTCTGAACCTGTCTGTGGGGCATACAGATTATTATTATCTCTGCGCGCGACGG